GTTTTGTAGTTTTGGAGAAGACCAGCAGCAAGATGGATGGACGTTGACGATGGGGGCACCATCGGAAGACGTGGAAGACTAAGTTGGGGACAGATCCTCCTGGAGAAAACCTATCTATGCGGTCACTAAGAGTTGACACTGACGTGACGGTATCTAATCAGTCAACTAACGAATGGGAAGGAAGAGAAGACGAGGATGACCAGAAGCAAGATGGATGGACTCAGTTAAGAGGGCAACATTTTGAAGACCTGAAAGGACCAGGTTGAGGACAGATCATCACGGAGAAAATCTGTGCGGTTGCTAACAGAATAACTTGTAGGTCACCTGGTCCAACTTGAGGGCACACATTCAGTCAAACGCTGCTAACATAAAAACTTGGAGGCGACCTAGTGAAATTTGGCGGTCGCTGGTGAAATGCAGCGGAAACCAGTTCTTTGTTACAAGGGAAATTAATGTTTAATCGTCTCGAAACGAGACGGTGGTAATTAAGGTTTGGAGCCAGCTTAAATCCTCCATGCAATCAGCTGGCTGCAAAAATCACGAATTGCTTTCCATTTTTGTGTCCAAGTACAAGATCCTGGTTTTTGAAACGTTAATGTTGGGGGTATAAAACTAAAAAATGTGGGGTTTTTTTCCCCCCCCCCCAATCTGTCTTGTGTCTTTTATTTCATTGTACTTATCAGTATTCACACCAGGCAGTTCCAATCTCATTAACTCAAATGACAGTGCAACTTTTGCTTAGAAAGGATCTATTCTTTTTTCCCCTAAATTCCACATCCATTGGGAAATTTTCACGATGCCAATTTATTTTTGTCTTTGTTTTTATTATTATTATTTTGTCGGCGAGTATTTAAGGATAAGACCGAAGCGATCGCCTTTTGTCCTCTAAAATCATCCAGGAGCTTTAGATCTGGCCAGCGAGCACATTAGCACGACAGTATTTAAAAACAAGCTAGGAATGTAGCATAACAGAAGGTTGCATGTTGGCTTAACGTGCCGCCGTTCCATTTTCGGCTCCAAGAAACCTGGGGCGTTTGCCCTCCCCCATTCATATTAATTGAATTTTAGAGCGAGCTAGCAGATGTATTGATTTGAATTAAAAAAAAATTTTACATCAAGGTCGACTTGGAACACATCCTACAGGCGACATATTAAAAAGCCAAGTATTGTGTCTATTAGCGTATCGATAGAAATAACTGAAATTTAATGAGGGGGCCTCGGATTTTTATATATATATATAAAAAGTCTGTGTAATGCAGTTTAAGCAATGCCGAATAAATAGAATAGCACTTAGCACTTAGATTTCTATACCGTTTCACAGTGCTTTGACAGCCCTCTCTAAGCGGTTTACAGAGTCAGCTGATTGCCCCCAACAATCTGGGTCCTCACTTTACCCACCTCGGAAGGATGGAAGGCTGAGTCAACCTTGGGCTGGTCAGGATCGAACTGCTGGCAGTCGGCAGAGTCAGCCTGCAATACTGCATTCTAACCCCTGCGCCACCACAATGGTATAGATATTTAGATTCCGGTGATAGTCCTATCCCACCGAAGTTTCATCCCTCATTAAGAATCTCTAGATCTAGTTCCCCATCGCCCAGTCTGAGCCGAAGAAGCTCCTCGGAGGAGAAGCGAAACGTCTTCAAAGAAAAACCAAGAAAGTCCAATTGCCTCTTGGGGGGGGGAGGGGGGAAGCACTTTTGGGACAACCAGGACCCGATGGTTCACTGAGAAGCTTCACAGACATTCAGCCAACGATACGTGGACCAGCCGCGTGATTTCAGGAGCAAGCTGGCCTCCCCACCCACCCACACAATTTCCCGCAACTCGAGTCTTTGAACCCAAATGTAAACGATAAACGCGACAAGCTAAAATCGCCTTCCTCTTTTCGGAGGAGAAAGTGGAGGCAGGTTGATTTTATTTATTTTTTTTATCACGATAAGACTCAGGTTCTTTGATGGAGCAGTTGGTGAGGATGTCACATGCGGAAGTCGGACAAGCTGCAGCCGCCATCTCCTGCCTCTGCTTTAAAAGCAGCATTCCTCACCTTTGCAAGAGAGCCGCTAAAACATCTTTCTCTCTCTCTCTCTCTCTCTCTTTTTAATTTAAAAAAAATGGCACTTGTCAGTTGCGATTTATGTAAGCTCTTCCATTTTTAATATCTGAATTTTAACATCGGGATGTCCTTTTCCTGCAGGAAAAAATTTTGAGATCCGTGCTAAGCAGTTGGCTAAATCTTGCTATTCTGGTAATAAATTGCCTTCTCTATGGGATGGATGAAGGAGGAGGGAGAGCCTGCGTCCCCTCCTCCTCCTTTCTCTCCATCCCCTCCTCCTTTCTGTTCATCCCCTTCTCTCCATCCCCTCCTTCTCCTCTCTTGCCATTGCCTTCCTCTCCTTTCTCTCCATTCTCACCATTCCCTCCTTCTCCATTCTCTCCATCCCCTCCTTCTCCATCCCCTCCTACTCATTTCTATCTATCCCCTCTGCCTTTCTGTTCATCCCCTCCTTCTCCTTTCTCACCAACATCTTCTCTTCCTCACCCACGTTTCCTCCTTTCTCTCCATTAACACCTTCTCCTCCTTTCCCTCCATCGTCGTCTTCTTCCTCTCCCATCACCGGAGTAAGCCAGAGTCACTTAACAACCCTGTTACTAACTTAAACAACTACAACGATACACTGAACCAAGGTCCTAAAACCGGGGGCCCAACTCACCGAGAACAATCATCTCACTTATTAGCAACAGAAATTTGGGGCTCAATTTGGCCGTCAGCTGAGGACTACCTGTACGATCGTCCCTCATGGACCGCCTGCAATTATGTGTAACACACATTGTGCTATCCCACAACCTTCGTTCTTTGGCCCGCTTTCTGGATCTGGCCGTTACGATCATCTCGTTCAGCCGCCTCCGATTTCCAAGTCTTGGCTTCCTCAGTCGGCACAACAGTTGCTTGTTTTTCCGGGGTCGACACAACCTTGGTGCGAAGTTGGAAGCTTTTCGCGTTGCCACACACCTGTTGTGGAGGAATTTAAGCAACTGTTGACAAGCTTAAGCGAGCACCCACCATGCCTAATTGTTTGGCAAGGTCTCCATGCACAGAGCGGAAGTTCTTGCCGGTTTTTAAATCCAGAATCCAGAAAGCAATTCCGTTTTCAATCGAGTAGGCCGTCTTCAAAGCGAGGGCGAAGCCCCATGTTTCTTGAGTGGACCGGACACTCCCCACCCCCACCCCCTTATACGCCTTGCAAGTGGTGAGGTGGTCTCCGTTATACAGACAGCCCTCAACTTAACGACGCAACGGAGCCCCAAATTTATGTTGCTGTTGTGGCCCGACAGCGGCCTGCGTGGATTGTTGCTGATCCCGACAATGAGGAGGCTGGTGTGGTGCTGCGCCAGTAGCCTGTGCAGCCAGCGCTCAAGTCGGACAGTGAGGAGGCTGAAGAAGATGCGGTGCCAGAGGCAGGGATTCAGCCAGGGCCTTCAGAACCTCCAGAAGCTTCTTTAAGTGAAGAGGATGAAGAGGAGGAGCCTCTTCTCGATGCACGGGCACGCAGAGCTGCCAAAAGGCAGGAGTTGCTCCTCAGGAGGAGGTCTCCTCGAGAGTAAGGCTTGGGGCTAATTGGCCACTCCCTTAGCCTATTTAAGAAAGAACGCCACTTGCAACAAGCTGTAGGGAACAACTTTAGTTCACTCTCTTTCGTGTCTGCAAAACTCTGCATGCGCAGAGGTTCAAAAACAGGTTACTTCCTGGTTAAAACCAGGAAGTAACGATGTCCGGGTGGGTGGGCGGAGTCTCGCGCTGCCACCGCTACCGGTTCGCCAAGCCACACACCATCACCGCTACCGGTTCCCCCCAGAACCGGCGCGAACCGGTAGCATTTCACCCCTGGTCCTAAGTGTGAAAAATGCTCCTCAGTCACTTTTCTCAGCGCCGTTCTAACTCTGAACGGTCACTAAACGAACTCTCGTAAGTCAAGGGCTACATGTATATGCATTTGGGACGGATTCCCCGGAAGCTGGTTTTTAAACTTATTTTACTTTATTTCTAAAGCAGGACGAATAAAGCCCATCTTCCATATTCATTTATCTTTCCCTTATTCGTTGGCTCCCTTCATCATTCTGTCCCAGATTTTTGCAAATTTCAGGGTTGCCGTAAGCAAGCTAAAATTCCCCCGCAGTCATTTGGCGGACAACGACGCTCAGAGGATGAATCACTTCGTAGGATGCCGGAGATAACCGTGCGCTGAGAATTTTATCAATTTTCTCTTGGTTGAATTGAAAAATAATAATAAAATAAAATAAAACTGAGTTAAAACTGTGACACCGGCTTCATACCTAGGCAAAGATGGGACCCTTTCAACCAGGGGTATCAAACTCAATTTCACGGAGGGCCAAACAGGGCGGTGGTTGACCTCGTGGGGGGTGAGCGTGGGTGACTGGGTGGGCGTGGCTGACTGGGTGGGTGTGGCCAGCTTGACCCAATCGCCAAACTGCTGGCCTGATGTTTCCTCTTCGCACTGGGTTCACCGGGCCGAAGCAGCGCAAGCCGGCCCCTTACATTTTCCAGGACGGCCTCATGGGCCGGATCCGACCACATCGCAGCAGTGATGAAATCCAAATTTTTTTTACTACCGGTTCTGTGGGCGTGGCTTGGTGGGCGTGATATAGCTTGGTGGGCGTGGCTTGGTGGGCGTGGCAGGGGAAGGATACTGCAAAATCCCCATTCCCTCCCCATTCCTGGGGGAAGGATACTGCAAAATCTCCATTCCCACCCCACTCCTGGGGGAAGGATACTGCAAAATCTCCATTCCCACCCCACTCCTGGGAAAAGATACTGCAAAATCTCCATTCCCACCCCACTCCAGGGGAAGTATATTGCAAAATCCCCATTCCCACCCCACTCCTGGGGGAAGGATACTGCAAAATCCCCATTCCTTCTCTATATTTGCATAGTCACAATTCCCTTTTTCTGTGTTTTTTTTTTTCTCCTTTTCTTCCTGCAGGTAACTTTGGGAAAAGTATTAAAAGTTATAGTCGTGATGAGAAGCCTCTTCATCGACCGGACGATAGTCAAAGGTTTTCATGAAAATGTTTACACGGAAGATGGCAAGGTAAGCGTCGCTTTTGCATCTCAAATGAAATGAAAAAAAAAAAAAAGTAATGAGTTCTGGTGAGTGTGACTCGCTCCCTGTTTACATCCAGTAGATCTGAGCTGGGTTGTTTTCTTGTGGACATTTCATGACCCAGCTGGGTAACATCATCAGTGCTGCATAATGGAGGACAGGGAGAGGGAGGAGGACTGTGGGGTCCTTGGTGCTCTCTGAGCTTGCTTGTTTCGCAGACGTTTCGTTACCAAACTAGGCAGCAGAATCAGCACACTGTTGATGTTCCCTAGTTAGGTAATGAAACACAGTCCTCCTCCTTTCCACAAATCCCATTTCCTTTTAGCACTGATGATGTTACTTAGTTGGGTCATGAAACGTCTGCAAGAAAAAACAAACAAACAAACGGAAAGATCACTAAGGACCTCATAGTTCTCCTTCTTCCCACTCCTCTCAACAAACCTCACTCCCTTCTAGCACTGATGATGCAACCTAGTTGGGTCATGAAACGCCTGCAAGAAAACAACCAAGCTCAGAGAGATCCCATCCTCCTCCTCCTCCTCCTCCTCCTCCTCCTCCTCCTCCTCCTCCTCCTCCTCTCCCTTCTACCACTGGGGTTGATGCTACCTAGTTGGGTCATGAAAAATCTGCATGAACCGTGATGGCTCAAAACGACTCCCTGAAGCTCAAGGAACACGGTGACAAGCCCGCATTGCAACTATTCTCTTCTGCCATTCCCAAACTTTCCTTCCACCCAAAGGCATCCCCATGGGCTTCCTTTATTTACCTTTTTAACGTCAGCAACCTTGAGACACATCCAGTTGGTCCCTATCCTGACCAACCTACCCCGTCCCCGCCCATCGTGGCATTCCCCCGGCCCTTTCCACACTCTCCTCCCCCACCGGAACTCACCATAACTTGGCAAACGAGCTCAAGACTTATTCTATTCATTTTATTTATTAAATTTGTTTGCTGCCCGTCTCGCCACGAGGGGACTCCGGGCGGAGGTAGGGATTCCAAGCTTCCGTAACCGCCTGGCCAGACACACCTCCAGGTTTGCGCCAGGTAGGACTCGCACGGATCCGTTAACCCACCTGGGCTATGTTAATGCTCTGCCTTCGTTAATTACCGCGTATCAATAAGCGAAGGAAGCTTTTGTGCCTTCCAGCGAGAAGGCCTCGCTCGTATCAAAGGCAGAGCTTCAAAGGTAGGCAGAGCTGTCTCCCAAGTAATTTCTGATCCCCGTATTCTTCCCACTTCAAAGCCAAGCTGTATGTTGTGTTTGGGTGAAGGGGAGGGTGGCGGGGAGGGAGGGAGGGAAGGAGGGAGGGGGCTCCCCCCCTGCCGAATCGGATTCCTCTAATAAGTGTTGGCACCGGCTCTGTTTGATATTAGATGCAGGGAACATTTTGATTGGTGATCGCCTTTGAAATCGTTCGGACGACCTTCAGAGAGCGGCCCCTGGTTGTTTGCGCCAGGGAGAACGGGGTGCGCGGAAGAGAAAGAGAGAGGGAGAGAAAGGGAGAAAGAAAAGAGAAAGAGGGGGAACAGAGAGAGAGAGAAAAAGAGAAAGAAAAAGGGAGAGAAAGAGGGAGAGAGAAAAGAGGAAGAGGGGGAAGAGAGAGAGAAAAAGAAAGACGGAGAGGGTGAGAGAGGAGAGAGGGTGAGAGAGGAAGAGAGAAAGAGAGAGGAAGGAAAAGAGAGAGGGAGAGAGTGAGAGAGGAAGAGAAAAGGAGAGAGAAAAAGAGAAACGGGGAAGATAGGGAAAGGGAAAAAGAAAAAGGGAGAGAGAAAAAGAGAAAGGGGGAAGAGAGGAAGAGGGGAAGAGAGAAAAAAGAAAGGGAGAGAGGAGAGTGAAAGAGAGAGAAAGAGGGAGAGAGAGAGGAAGAGAGGGAGAAAAAGAGAGGGAGAGGAGAAAAAGAGAGGAAAAAGAACGGAGAGAAAGGAGAAAGAAAAGAGAAAGGGGGAACAGAGAGAGAAAAAGAGAAAGAAAAAGAAAAGGGAGAGAAAGAGGGAGAGAGAAAAGAGGAACAGGGGAAGAGAGAGAGAAAAAGAAAGACAGGGAGAGGGTGAGAGAGAGAGAGGGAAAGAGAAAAGAGAGGGAAGAGACAGAAAAAGAAAGAAAAAAAGAAAGAAAGGGAGAGGGTGAGAGGAAGAGAGAAAGAGAGGAAGGAAAAGGAGAGGTGAGAGAAGAAAAAGAGAGAGAAAAAGAAAGGGGGAAGATAGGGAAAGGAAAAAGAAAGGAAGAGAGAAAAAGAGAAAGGGGGAAGAGAGGAGAAGGGAAGAGAAAAAAGAAAGGGAGAGAGGAAGAGAGAGTGAAAGGGAGAAAAAGAGAGAGAAAGAGGGAGAGAGAGAGGAAGAGAGGGAGAAAAAGAGAGGGAGAGAGGGGGAGGGAAAGAGGGAGAGAGGGAGAAAAAGAGAAAGAGGGAGAGGGGGGAAAGGGAAAAGAGAGAGAAGGAGAGAGAGGGAGAAAAAGCGTGAGAGAGGGAGCCCCAATTTAATTCGCATGCGGGGAGACGCCTTGAAAATTGTGCTTTTCAGCAGCTTCTCCCCCACCCCCCCAAGTTAACAAATGTGTGTCTTGATTGAAAGTGAAAAGTTGAAGAATAATAGACCTGCAACCCTCCTTCGTGTAGCTCACCCACTTCATTTCGACCTCTGTGTGTGTGTGTGTGTGTGTGTGTGTGTAAGGATGGAGGCTTTCCAAGCCCTACATATGCTTTTCCTTCCTTCCTTCCTTCCTTCCTTCCTTCCTTCCTTCCTTCCTTC